ATCAACAACACATTGGTTGAGGTCGACAGAGCATCAACAACACATTGGTTGAGGTCGACAGAGCATCAACAACACATTGGTTGAGGTCGACAGAGCATCAACAACACATTGGTTGAGGTCGACAGAGCATCAACAACACATTGGTTGAGGTCAACAGAATATCAACAAAACATTGGTTGAGTTCTACAGAACATCAACAACACATTGGTTGAGTTCGACAGAACATCAACAACACATTGGTTGAGTTTGACAGAACATGAACAACACATTGGTTGAGTTCGACAGAATATCAACAACACATTGGTTGAGTTTGACAGAACATCAACAACACATTGGTTGAGTTCGACAGAACATCAACAACACATTTGTTGAGTTCGACAGAACATCAACAACACATTGGTTGAGTTCGACAGAACATCAACAACACATTGGTTGAGTTTGACAGAACATCAACAACACATTGGTTGAGTTTGACAGAACATCGATGTTCTGTCGAACTCAACCAATGTGTTGTTGATGTTCTGTAAGACTCAACCAATGTGTTGTTGATGTTCTGTAAGACTCAACCAATGTGTTGTTGATGTTCTGTAAGACTCAACCAATGTGTTGTTGATGTTCTGTAAGACTCAACCAATGTGTTGTTGATGTTCTGTCAAACTCAACCAATGTGTTGTTGATGTTCTGTCAAACTCAACCAATGTGTTGTTGATATTCTGTCGAACTCAACCAATGTGTTGTTAACAACACATTGGTTAAGTTCTACAGAACATCAACAAAACATTGGTTATGTTCTACAAGACATCAACAACACATTGGTTAAGTCCTACAAGACATCAACAACACATTGGTTAAGTCCTACAAGACATCAACAACACATTGGTTAAGTCCTACAAGACAATAACACATTGGTTAAGTCCTACAAGACATCAACAACACATTCGTTAAGTCCTACAGAACATCAAAAAAACATTTGTTAAGTCCTACAGAACATCAAAAAAACATTGGTTAAGTCCTACCAAACATCAACAACACATTGGTTGAGTTTGACAGAACATCAACATCACATTGGTTGAGTTCGACAGAACATCAACATCACATTGGTTGAGTTCGACAGAACATCAACATCACATTGGTTGAGTTCGACAGAATATCAACAACACATTGGTTGAGTTCGACAGAACATCAACAACACATTGGTTGAATTCGACAGAACATGAACAACACATTGGTTGAGCTCGACAGAACATCAACAACACATTGGTTGAGTCTTACAGAACATCAACAACACATTGGTTAAATGTGGAACTAATAAAGAGAAGCAATATGTCAACTTCAAACACATGGATAATGTGTTCTTGATTATGAAAGACTTAATATACTTTTGAAACTAGAAACGTTTATCAAGTGAAGACTGAGAACTATGTTTGCAGGACAGATGTTTTAATTAAGTTACTGTCTGCTGCATATCCCAGTCTGCCAAGTTGTGTCCTTAATAACTAATGAAATGAAGACTGATAACAGGTGAAGTTTAATGAAATAATTAGGAGAAAGTAGAACATTTCCAGTATTTGTTAATTTTTCATTAATCTTCATTTTTATTTGTGAACTATTGAGTTATTGTTTTTTAATAATATAAGAAAATAAACTGTTCTCTGAAAGAAATGTGTAGGCATTCAGTTTTATAGATTATATGTTGGATATCCAAATGTCAGCATCGGTGTAAAGGCAAAAATGTGTAATGTTCCATATCTCTTACAACACTTAATGTATACATCTATGTTCCAGGTGTCAATGGGCCAAGGTCAGATGGACTTAGCCATCCAGTATCTCAAGGATTGTAGTCAAAATGGTTACTGGTTGTGTTTGAAAAATCTTCACCTTGTAACTCCTTGGTTGGCAACCTTAGTAAAGGTGCAGTCTGGGATTTTGTTAATTGTTACATTCATGTTAACTTTACTAGTGTAGTATTGGTTCATTTTAATTGTTTCTTTCATGTTGACTTTAATAGTGCATTATTGTTTCTTGTTAATCCTTACTTTCATGTTAACTTTAGTGGTGTACTATAGATTGTTGGTAATTGTTACTTGTATTGTTTGATTGGGACTTTCATGTTAACTTTAGTAGTGTACTATAGATTGTTGGTAATTGTTACTTGTATTGTTTGATTGGGACTTTCATGTTAACTTTAATGGTGTACTATAGATTGTTGGTAATTGTTACTTGTATGGTTTAATTGGGACTTTAACATTATTACTTAACTTGGCCAGTGATCATTAAAACATTTTTCTAATGATACAACAATAGTCAAATGTAGTTTCGTAATGAATTGTGTTATTTAACATTATTTATAAAAGTAGCTTCAGGATCTCTAAACGAAAACATTAATAAAATGGATGTTTCTAGAGTATGTAGTGTTTCTGGAAGTTTGTGAGTAGTGTTATTTAACATTATCTATAAAAGTAGCTTCAGGATCTCTAAACAAAAACATTAATAAAATGGATGTTTCTAGGGTATGTAGTGTTTCTGGAAGTTTGTGAGTAGTGAGTTTCTATGGTATGTAGTGTTTCTGGAAGTATGTGAGTAGTGTGTTTCTAGGGTATGTAGTGTTTCTGGAAGTTTGTGAGTAGTGTGTTTCTACGGTATGTAGTGTTTCTGGAAGTTTACTACATACCCTAGAAACACACTACTCACAAACTTCCAGAAACACTACATACCTAGAAACACACTACTCACAAACTTCCAGAAACACTACATACCATAGAAACACACAACTCACTAAAGTTTTCATAAAAACAAACCATTATTAGTGTTACACTTAAACTTATTCTAGAACACTGACTCAGAAATAAGTCTGAGGGCTTATGATGCTGCAAATTTGGTTTTGATACTTGCAGTGGACATAGCACAGATAGCCTACTGGGTAGCTTTGTGCTTAATAATAAATGAATAGTTTTAAAATACTTACTTGATGAATTGGTAACATGATCAATTATTTCTGTACTTGCTCGAAGGTCAGCAATGTTGAATTCATAAAATTTTGTCCAGCCCTGAAACATAAAATAAATTTTTCATCATTTATTAGATCCAAAGGAAGAAAAAAAAAATAAAATCAAACAAGAGTATCATGTTAAGACAAATGATGAAAAGATAAAATCAAAGACAAAATTAATGGTCACCTTTAAGAAAAATGACAACCAACTGAAGACCCAGAGTTCTTTGAAAATGCTACAAAAACTTATGAAAACTTATGACATTTCTATTATGATTATGAAAGAAGTGAGGTTGAATAAATATATGTAGGCAGAAAATTTTTGACATTAAAGTTACGTAACATTACAAGATACAAAGATAAAGAAGTAGTACAAAATAATAACTTCCTACGACAGGTGGCCTACAGTATTATTAAGGTTCAAAAGGATAAATGGTACTTTTTCTGTGTTCCAAAAATTAATGTGTACAGAACCACTCTATTTAAAGAAAGAACTGCACACAACAGTGCCTTGTACTGACTATTTAGTATCATAGTCAAAGTAAGGGTTTCTAAGCAGATGGTGATCTATGAGAAAGAAAAGTTGGAGCTTTAAAACATGAGCAATCAGAGAGATTGCATACCCTCCGCTCCTTTTCGAGATTGCATGCATTTAATATTTCACCTTCAAAAACTCAGAAATTCCTTCTCAGTTTCAGAATGATCAACAATCTGGATCACTTTTTGTAATGTGATGAGGAGTCTCAACCATAATGTGGCCATGAAATTTGATACAAAACCGATCACACTATACAGAGTTACTAACCCCAAACCATGAATATACCCTATTTCCCAACTATAAAAAATGCTTCAAAGTGATCCAGAATCCATTTGGAGGGGACTGTCCCATACTGACTTTCCATCTTGTGTAAAATTTTCATGTGCATTGGCTATTAGTTTTCGAGATACGTGCACAGAAAGACAGACAGACACATGAGCAGACTCCCGGGGGAGGGAGGGGGGTTTATAATAAATTAATTTTAATTATTATGCTCTCTAAAATATAAATATGACACATGAATGTGAAAGTTACTTCACCACACAGTCATTTCTATCGTGCAGTTTTTAATTTGTTGAAAGAAGTGTTTGAGGTTCTGGAGAGGAGGCACCCAGAGAAAGAAAGATGTTACCCTAAATATGATCCTTGTATTTATATATATATTAGTGACACCTAAACATGATCCTTGTATATATATATATATATATTAGTGACACCTAAACATGATCCTTGTGTATATATATATATATATATTAGTGACATATCAAGACATTCCCATGGACACCAAAAGAAACTAGTTGTTTTTGTTTAAACTATCTATTAAGTACTACTTTACTACATCAACAGGTAAAGCAATCTGGAGAACGTTAAGTTGTCCAGTCGAACTGGATACAAACACCACTGTTGAATAACAGATACCTTAATTTAATAACAATATGGTTTCTAAAGTATGAGTTTAAAAAAAATCAAAAGAAACCTGTGGAATATATGACCGACGCTCTTGAACAACTGCATGAAACCAGGCCAAAGCAAAAAGAGCTTGAGAGCGAACAATGTTTCCTCCTCGGGAGATAAAATCTGGTGTCCAAGTTTCATAAGTTCTCAGAAGATTTTTTTTTATGCCTGGAGGTGCCTATAATTACAAAAGTAAGAATTCACAAGTTTTTCTTGAAAGTTCAAAACAACAACGTACAAATATTTAGTTACTGATGAAACAAGAAAAAACAATGAAAATCTGATTCATAAATATTTTATTAGTTTAGAAAGCTTTTTGTAGATTTGACTAATTATAAGATAATTAGAAAGGAATCTTCTTAGAGTGTTTAAAGATTGTCCAGCATTTATAAAACAGCACGTTATGTATCATTAATACAAAAGTTTGATATTTAATAAAGTGTTAGAAATGAGTAGCTTACTTCATATGTGACTTTCAAGCACATCTGAAGCAAGATATGGGAAAACTCAGAATGAGCTTCTGAAGTGAGCCATAACCTGAAGTTAGGGTGAGGTTGAAGAGCACTGATCTCCTGCAAATATCAGAAGTATATATACACAGTGTTGAAAATCTCTACCTACAAACTTCCAGAAACTAAGTCAATAATTTATATTGCACATCAGCATGGACAAGTACAACTACCTGTATACATGTTGTCACATGTTAAGTTATGTTCACCAATTGTCAATTAAAGGCTTTTACTTATACTTCTTAGTAGTATAAATATATACTGTGTTGCTGTTGTTGTTGAGATTAGGATTCTTCTACAGTAGGTGTTCTTCACACTAGAGAGATTATAGGCATATCATAAATACTATATATATAGTTCTCTTCTTCTTGTCAAAAGTCCACTTAGGCCTATTGAATTGCTTTAGAATTTCAACTGACAAGCCTAACTATCTTCTCTATTACTATCACACTAGTATTCTGTGTACTGTATGATTCATTCACAATTGTGGCATGAGTTACTGCAGTCGTATACTACTCTTTCAGTAATTGTTTGGTCTTCTTTCTTCGAAATATCCTCTGTTCCTTTTGTCAAAATGCACTCACGTTGATTCAATTACTTTATAACCACACTTTTATGGAATAAAGTAATATTCTTTTCTCCTTTTCTACTGTTAGACTTACTCTAACATATTAAATGTTAGGCTTAGGTTAATCTTTAGGCCTATCACTTCTATGGTAGTTAATTTCACTCTGACCTTTTCACTGGCTGCAACTTTACTCTCTTCTGCTATTGTGTCTGTTGTTTCCACTTGTCTTACACTGTTTATATGTTTATCACTTAATTGTCTGCCCGCCTTCTAGAAATCCCTATATTTTCGACATCAATGTATTGCATGCAACACGTTCGATAGTTTCAACATCAGTGAATTATCAACACAATTTCCAACAACTGTCTGCTTTTAACTCTTTTTATACCAAAAATTAAACAATAATAAAATATTCACTCACAAAATAAATTAATCAATAATATCTAAACTAAACAGTCGTTTATATCAGGACAAAGATATTAAACAGATGAATATAACCAAGATAGGTATATTTTAAACCCATCAAAACAACAGTAAATAGGAATTTATAATGTAATCAAAGGATTATATAAAGCTGAAATAGGAAACATCAAACATTAAAAAGTTGAACATATGTTAAAATTTCAGAAATTAAAATGTTTAGAATTTAACAGAGAATTAGTTATCTAAGCTATTGTAAGGTATTAAAAATATAATGAGAAAAACTAGCAAAAATAGCAAATTAAACAACAAATTTATTTGTTTATTACATGAAGCCTTTTATTTTCAAATCTTTATACAAAATGAAATCTAAGAAAAACTTATAAGAATAAGAATATAAATACAACGTAAGTTCACCTTTAAAAACAGAAACATTATACTTTATGATAAATGGCACAAAAGATTTTGCTGGATAGCTCTTGGTAATACAGAGGGTTGTTCACTATCTATGTTTCATCTTGACTAAATACATCTGTTTAATATCTTGGTAATACAGAGGGTTGTTCACAACCTATGTCTCATCTTGACTAAATACATCTGTTTAATATCTTGGTAATACAGAGGGTTGTTCACAACCTATGTCTCATCTTGACTAAATACATCTGTTTAAAATACAATGAAGCATTTCTCATTAGTGACTTATATATACAGGTTCAAACTAAAGTATTTCTCAGTAGACCTCTCTATTATTACTAGAATTTTATATAGGAGTATTTTGATTTATACATAGAATAATAGTTTGTGCATTTAGTAGCTTTATTTGGGTTTACAAAACAAGCTAGAGTTTAGTTCAGTTTCATTTTAGTGGTTGAGTTTAATGAAGGCTTATCAGAACCATGGTGTGTTCAGATGTGTTAAATAGATTATGTTTCATGTACGTTTATCTATTTTCATTAAGAGAGTGTGAGAGACAGTGGAACTTTTAGTGGTTTCTTATTTCATGTACATATATTTATTTTCCTCCACAGCTCGTGAGATTCAGTGGAACTTTGTTCATGGACTCTTTCTCAATGCTATTTACGGTGGCCGAGTAGACAACCCTTTTGATATTTCTGTTCTTGACTCATACACCCGGCAGTTCTTTGACTCATCTGTTCTCTCTGGCACAACTCGCAGTCAACGAGCTTTTGCCAGCGATGTGATTCTTCCAACATCTGTTGATATAAAAGTAAAACTTCTGTTCAGTTCTTAATTAGAAATCCAACCTGTAAATGTATTTGATATGAAAGTAAAACTTCTATACAGTTTTTAATTAGAAATCCAACCTGTAAATGTATTTTATATGAAAGTAAAACTTCTGTACAGTTCTTAATTAGAAATCCAACCTGTAAATGTATTTAATATGAAAGTAAATCTTCTATACAGTTCTTAATTAGAAATACAACCTGTAAATGTATTTGATATGAAAGTAAACTTCTATACAGTTCTTAATTAGAAATCCAACCTGTAAATGTATTTATATGAAAGTAAAACTTCTGTACAGTTCTTAGTTAGAAATCCAACCTGTAAATGTATTTTGAAAAACTGTTTTTTCATATTTTAAAATGATCTTCGTTTATTAACTATTCTTTGATGTTAATACCTTTCTCTGATGTGTATTGACATGAATTAAGTAATACTTGCAGCTCATATCCATGCTCACCAAAAAATAAGTAGTTACTAACATTTGAAATGGGTACTTTTTATTTGTAATTATTGGTTGTAATGTATGTGTGAAGTTAGATGGTCTTAGTTTTAGTGTTAAAGTTGTAGTACTACATAGACTTTGTGTCCAAATATGACTGAAAGTGTGACTAATGTGAACTTTATTATGAAACAGAAGGTAAGATCTGTAATTTAGGATAAATAATCTACTTAGCTTAATACATCCAAAGAATGATACTTTAACAATTCTTATAACCTTTCAAAGAAACAATATTTAATTATATGCATTAATCATGAAGTTTTATTCCTGAATGACTATGTTATTTCGAATTGAAAGCCAAACATTCTTGTAATCTAGACTGAACATTACAGCAGTCAGTGTAATGTCATCTTATTTAGTTTTCTTTGTTAAATGTTTTAACCCTATCGAGACAGGTGAGAACCTTTCGAGTGTTGAGTGCACACCTGCATGTCAAGTTTCAAAATTTGACACAAAATAATAATTATAAGTATTTTTAGTATTGATATATTATCATTGTTATAAAAGAACAATTTTAGTATTGATATATTGTCATTGTTCTAAAAGAACAATTTTAGTATTGATATATTGTCATTGTTCTAAAAGAACAATTTTAGTATTGATATATTGTCATTGTTATAAAAGAACAATTTTAGTATTGATATATTGTCATTGTTCTAAAAGAACAATCTTAGTATTGATATATTGTCATTGTTATAAAAGAAGAACACCATATGTAGTAGCATCAGTGAAAAACTAAGGTAAATGGAACAAACTGTCAGAAGTGTTGATATTTAAGAAACTAGTTTTGACTAATTTGTGTCTCTTTAGTTTCACATCGTCTTCTGTGTCTTCTAAAACATAAGTGTATGTTTGCTAAAAAAACATCTCTTGTGAATATAATTAACCAAGTCATTTTTTCTTAGTTAGTTTCCTTTACTGTTTGAATTTTTATTATTATAGTTCTTCATTCCCAGCCTTTTATGATTTAACGGCAGATGGTCTAAGCAAGTACTAATGAAGCAAAATATTTTCTTATAACTCAAATAAGTATTTATTGAAAAAAAATTTCTGAGATATAGATTGATCTTGACCAGGAATACCTTTCCATGCAGTATGTAGTTTAAATATGTATTCAACTTGGTAAACTATTTGTTACAGGAATATCTTTCCATACAGTATGTAGTTTAAATATGTATTCAACTTGAAAAACTATTTGTTACAGGAATACCTTTCCATACAGTATGTAGTTTAAATATGTA